GTTTCTCTTTTCTGTAGAGTTGTCATCTTTGTCTCCTCCCAAACCAGTGGTGGTGGATCCATGTCTTCTCATGTGCTGGAGCTTGTTCATTCAGTAGCCCGGAACACATGCCGAGTGTTTCAGAAAGAAATCTGCCAGTGCAAGATGGTGTTCCTGCAATGATTTTCTTGTAAACCATCAAGACTGCATAAAATCTCCTCTGTTCAGTTAGGAAGCAATTACTCTGTAAGGTTGGGTTAGCTGCCACTGAATTTCCTTGGCGGCAAACTATTTGCTAGGAGTTAATTCCATAACAAACAGGCTGAGCCACTTCAGGCTCAAACCACAAATGGGAAATGCAGGTCAGTGTGCTCAAAGGATTTCCCAGGAGTGGAGTAACCAGAAGTCCCTGTCGTCTTCTGAATCGGTTGATCAAAACAGGAAGTGCCAGTGATTCCACTCCGGAGCCGCTCCATTCTGCGGCGTGCTGACACATGTTTTGCCGGTTGTTTGACTGGCATCCTCCTGATAGTGCTTTCCTTACTTCCATTTGGCCTGGCTTAGCCCAGGTTGTTCCAGCAGTGTGACTGTCTCTATCTCAGACAGCATAGAACAAGAGCCTTCCCTATTCCTAGGCCAAGACTGTCAGGTTCAGGAAGGTTGAGTTAAGCTGTCTAAGAATCCCATCATTTTACAGTTATTATGTTGGCTTTGGCTGGCTCAGAAGCTCCCGTTGAAAGTGTAGTGGGTAACGTATCTCAAAGAAATCTGGGCAAGCTCCTACGTAGTAAGAGGAGGCTAGATTTTTTTATCTTATTTCCGTATCTGAGGGTGGGGATTTTATGGGGTAGAATAGAGAACTCATTCAAGAACTTACGGTGAGAAAAGTATACGGGGAATGCATTCACAGTACAGTCTGAAGATGTTTGTATTGATAGGAATGTGTTTTACAATCGGATTGTTGTAACATAGATGTGTAATTAGAAACACACCAGATTTTCCTTTTTGCTTATTTGTTGATTTAATGTTTATATTAAGAATGGTAACATGTGGTTATCTACTAAATATTAATACAGGGATTGTTTTTGTTTTCACTTCAAGAATTGCTTTTCTTTTCCTTTTTTTTTTTTTTTTTCCTCTTTTGTGGCAAAACCAAGCAGATAAATGTTTCTTTCTGATGGGACTATTTTGAAGCAGTCCTAAAAAGTCCGTTATGGACCAGGTTCCCTGAGCTAGGTTTAAAAGTCAAGAATGTCCTTCCCCAGAGGTTCCAAGGTTACCACGTCACGATAAGTTTCATGAAATGTTAGGGGAAATGCTTCTGAAGTGTTCTTGTTGATACGGAATTGCATGGAAATAAATGTAGGGGTTCAGTTAAAATGTTTTTATTTAAAAT